AAACCAAGTCTGCCTTTGTTTGGGATATATAATATCAAACTTTTCAGCAGTAAAGGCATTTTAAAGTGTTGCTTTTCCTGCCCAAGCCAGGCACTAGGACCTCCAGTGTCTCTGCCGTACCTTAGCATGAGGAAAGCCTTTTTGTCCGTTACATCCATGCATGTAATCAGCGATTGTGCCTTTTGTAAACCTCAGATTCACCATCTGTATGCTCCCAAGTGGCCAGTGGAGCACTAAACCCCCATCCCCATGGGATTAATCTGCAATTTCACACCAAATGATTTTTAAGGATAATTTGTTACGATACAGTATTCTAAAATGAAAAAGAAACGGTCAAAGCTTTTGCATTGTGATGAGAGGAGGGAGCTGTGAAGTTCCCTCTGTTAAAATGGGGTGTACAGAATCCACTTGCATAGGAGCTTCATTCAGATACAAACACAAAATGTCTCAGGAAAAGAACCTTTGGGTAATTAAAACAGCTGCCTTTTGGTTCTGAGGGGAAGAATACAAACAGAAACAGACAATCTGGGCACTGTAGGGGATGAGGTGTAACTTCCCATCTCATTCAGGGACTGAGGAACTGCATGAGGAAGTTGCAGTTTAAAATGTACATAGAATATTTCACTCTTGTACTGAGGCAAACTGAGGGATGAATTGCAAAGGCACTGAGTAAACAAGGAAGAGCTAAAGAATCCACTCTGTCACATAAAACAAAGCCGGACTGAAGAGTGCAAGGAAATAATTCCTTTTAAAGAAGTGCTACCTGCATTTAGAACCCCCATTTCACTAAAGAGAGGGCACTGATCTTAATTCACATCATCATTTCCTCCACACATTTTAGATACTCAGCAGAAAAAGGATGAAAACTACAAAGTGAGGAATAAGATCCAGGGTCAGGACACACATGTCCTTTAACAGAACAGTTGATGAGTAAATACAAAGCTGCTTCCCAGCCATGCTGGGCTCTGCATAGAAACAAGTCCCAGACCAAACTGGTCTGAGGTGGGGGAAGAATCTGATTTTACACCCTAAATAGATGGAACATTGAGGTCTTCACAGAGTTCTCACAGATTTCTGCTTTTGAGGGTTCAAGTCTCCCTTGCTTTTTTCTCCTTGTCTGCTAAAGCACACTTGAGAGTGTGGAAAAGAAACCAAACTTGTTTTATGATGACCTCAGCTGGCAGCGAAATGAAATCAGTTCATCACCCAAAGGAAGTTAGTGCAGGTTAAATTATAGCCTACAGAAACTGGAGATCATTTAGGAGAAATTCACATGCAAGAAAGCCAATGCCTTCATAAAGCAAATCCCTCTTTTGCCTCTGTTCTTTTATTGCATTATTTATTTGCTACCAATTAGTCACTCCGAAGAAAGGGAGAATTTAATTGCTGAACATTATGTTCTCTTAAAAGCTACATGTGATTTTACAGGCCACCAAAATAAATTACATAGAAACTGGATGCATACAAATACCTAATACACATTTCTCTGCTAATATTCACTATAAAAATAACCTCAGCTGTGTCACGTGAACTTGTCCCATTCCTTCACTTAGACAAGCCTATAAATTAATATTTAAAAAGATAAATAATAATAAATATAAAATTACATTTTAATTTAAGAAACTTAGCTAATGCATGTAAGAAACAATACATACTGATATTCCTGTTCCTGCTATTCCCTTGGACAGCAGAATGTCTCCAGTGTAACGTTAACTGGTGAGAAAACACCTAAACCAAGAAGAATTGGTTACAGTCAATCTCTGTATGTCCAATATTTGATTTGCAGCTTACCTGGATTCCAGCTTCCCGCATAACCCAGAACAGTCAAAGAATTCCCCCCAAATATATGGAAGTAACAGCAAAACCACGCACAGTGACTTCTCAGGGCAATGCTTAGTGAGGAAACTCTGTTCAAAACTGCTTGGCAATTTTAAGGGTGTTTTAGCTGTTAACTGGCAGACTCCACCACTTGCTCTGCTCAAATCACCAAACCCAGCCTGCAGATACCCATGTGCATGTTTCCCAAGGAACACTGCACGTCCCTGTTATGGAGTCATGGAGTAATTTAGGTTGGAAGGGACTTCAAGAAGTCCTTGCCCCAAACCTGTGCCCAAAGCAGGTGGAGGGCAGCCAAATTCTAAGTGTCTCCAAGGGCAGAGACCCACCACCCCTCTGTGCCCCGCTGCAGCGGTGGACTACCCTCATTGGGAAGACTTTCCTCCTAATAATGAACTAGAACTTCCCTTGTTGCAACTCGCTATGCACTCTTCTAAGTGCCCCCAGAGGCTAAGCTCTTTATCCCTTGACATTTCAGCCTAAGCTCCCCCAGTGAGCAGGATGGGTATAAACCACCCTTGGTCTCTTTACCTGTTATAATCTGGCCCCTCCAGGCAGGAGGTATGCAAATCACCTGACTGAGAGAAGGGAATCCATGCCCTGAATGGGCTACAACAAGGAAAGCAGCCAAGCGGAAAGTCCAACACAATGGCTCGAGTAGATTCCATGCAGGTCTCAAAGCCTTGGCCGGCTTTATCTTTGCCCCCCCCCCCCCCCCGCAAATATTAAGCTCCAGGAATGCACTTTAAAAAGTGGCATTTTTGAAGTTTCGAGGTAAGTATGTAACGAGTGTAAGATGAACCTGGAGTAAGTTACAAGACCCAGCAAAACCTATTGCTGCAACTAGGGGAACGCTTGCAACTGGGCAAACTCTGTGCTTAGGCACGAGCACCGCTATGACTTCTTTTGTTCTGCTTTTGGTTCTCCAGATGTGCTCAGCCTTGATGCTGAGAAGTATTGATCATTCTTTCTATTGACAGTAATTAACAGAGAGAGATTTGATGTTCATCAAAGTGAACAGATTCTCATTAAGAGTGGAAGATCTCCCCAGTCTTCACGTTCCATTCTCTCGTGCGGTAAACCGTCAAGCTCAAGGACATAGGTTCCTTGTAAGTCTTCTGGGTTTTCATTCTGAAAGTTTATTGAAAGTATTTAGATTTCATTTGAGAAGGCTCCAGGGAGATCTTAGAGGAACCTTCCAATACCTAAAAGGGCTCAAAGAAACCTGGAGAGGGGCTTTGGACAAGGGCCTGAAGGGACAGGCCAAGGGGAATGGCTTGAACCTGCCAGAGGGGAGACTGAGATGAGCTCTGAGGCAGAAGCTCTTCCCTGTGAGGGTGCTGAGGCGCTGGCACAGGGTGCCCAGAGAAGCTGTGGCTGCCCCATCCCTGGCAGTGTTCAAGGCCAGGTTGGACACAGGGGCTTGGAGCAAGCTGCTCCAGTGGAAGGGGTCCCTGCCCGTGGCAGGGGTTGGAACTGGGTGAGCTTTAAGGTCCCTTCAACCCAAACCAGGCCGGGATTCTGTGATTTCTGTACTTATGCCTTGCTATGCAGAGTCCGTATAAGCTGCTTCCATCACGGATTTCAAACTGCTCCTCTATAGAGGCCACCTCTGATGACAAATAAGGGTGGTGCCAGTTCTGATGATGGGCATACAGGGAGGAAAATCTGGTCTCAAAACCCAGGTGAGCCCAGGGCAGCAGAGCCTGTGGCTGACCCTCGCTGACACCGGTCTGACCTCCATTGAGCCATTTCACTCGTGTCCTTCGCGCACTCGGGGGTAACGCTGCCTGTAACGCACTCCTGCGCTGTCAGACTTTGCTATCCGATGGGCACACCATGCTTAAGAAGCCTCTGGTGAAAGAGGAAGCACAAGTATGAAGGTCAGAGCGAACTCTTCCATTAAACACTTCATGTATGCACCTACCTAAACAGAGGTGCCCACATCCACCCCCCCCACACCTTGCCCCCCCCCAGCCCCACCACCCTGGGTCCCACCCGCCCCACAGCCCGCCCTCCCCTCCCCGGGTGCGGTGCCCGCTCTCTGGGCCCGGGCCCCGTCTCCTCCTCACCCCTCTGCTCCCCGCCGGGCCGCCATGTTCTGCCCCTCTCCTCACGCCCGCCCGCCGCCGGGCCCGCCTGAAGGAGGCGGCTGCTCCCGGGCGCCTTCCCGCGGAGGAGCCGGCCCCGGGCTCCGGCGGGCTCAGCGGCGGGGAACGCGGGCGGGGAGAGGCGGGCCCGGGCGCTGCCTCCGCACCCCTCCCCGCGGGGCAGCGGGCACCGGGGTCCCTCTGAGGCGCTCGCCCCGCTCCGCGCCCCGGGGCGGCCGCGCTCCCCCTCACGCGTGCGCTCCCCCCGCGCTCCAACCGTTTGAACGCGGGGCGGGTCCCCTCCCCCCCGCAGGAAAGTTGCCCGAAGTTGGGCTCTTTGGGGCTTTTTCCCCTCTTTTGGGCGTTATTTCCCCTTGAACCCCCCCCCCACCGCTCCCCGCTCGCCCTCCCTCCCCACAGCCCGGTCCCCCGGGCGCTGGCGGGGCGGGACCCGGGCACCGCGGCGCTTCCCCCGGCCCTGCCCCGGGCCTGACCCCGCGGGCGGCCCCGGCCGCGCATGCTCCAGGCTGGACAGCTCCTGAGAGGGAAATTTAAACCCGGGCTGGAGCCCGGCCCCGCCGGGACTCACCGCGGCTCCGCGCCGCCGCCGCCGGCCCCTCGCAGCTCCCGGTGCCCCTCAGAGGGACGCCAGCTCCGCCGCGCGGAGCTCCGGCTGGGCCCCGGGCCCGAAGGTTGGTGCAAGGCGCGGGGCGCGGGGTGCGGGGATGCGCCGGGGTGGCCGCTGCGGAGGGCTCGGGAGCGCCCCGGGGCAGGGTCCGGAGGTGCCGGGTTCGGTTCCCGGGCTCCCCTGTCCCCGGGCTCGGCCTGGACCGCGGCGCAGCCCCGAGGCTTGCGCATCCCGAGCGCTTTTGGGGTGTTTTAGAGCAGCCCCCAGACCGGGTGCGTGGGTCCCAGCTGACCCCGCTGCTCCGGGCCCGACAGCCCCTTTGCTCCCTCCATCGGGGCAAGGTTCCCGTTTGGAGCTTTGGAGACTTCCTCCTTCCCTAAAACGTTTCACTGCATTGCCTGGTCCAAATAAGCCCAGTGCACCTGCAGGGCAAGGGGATGGAAGTTGGGCTTTCCTTCCCTACAGCCCGGGGTTCCAGCTGCGATTCGTGGTCCCCCGCCGCTGCTGAAGTGCTGGATAGCTACTGCTGCCCGAACAGCTTCCTGCGGCTTCCCTGTCCGTGCCAAGGAGATGATAGAGAGCGATATCCCGTCCATAATGTCAGGAATCCTTAGGAATTCAGGGCAAAACCACCACCCTCCACAGGAGTACAGGTGAGGCTTTTACCGATCTCAACAATACACGCTGTGCTGGCGCTGAGAACTGATGTTGTTTCCCCATTATTTCCTAAAAACTTCCTTAGCGCATAGAAATCCACTTTTCCCTCCTTTCTTTTTAAAGTTAACAGCGTTATTTCTCCCCTCTGAATTGCATTTCTAAGCTGCTGACCTGTTACAATGCATTACTTGTATAGAAGCATTCCTGTTTAAAGCGTGCTGACGCTAAACTATGTTGGATAAACGCACCTTCAGCGCCTTGGGTTGACCTCGCAGCAAACTCTCTCAGCTGTACGAGTGTTGCCAGAGAGGGATATTCTTGTCAACTAACAATTACTGAGACGTTCCCTTTCAGATCCCGTTTTGCATTGCTATGAAGCAGTCACCAAATCAAGTGTAATAGACACCAGAAGAGCTTTCTGTAAAAACAAGCACTGTCGTGTCTTGTAAGATGGGTGGGAGCAGAGCTGTGTTTGATAACTGACCTGTACCTATGTGTCTGATACCATTTGGAAGCGTTGCTGGGAGTCACGGGGTGGTTGTGCATGAATTACAGCGCACTGGGTTAACCTGGGTTACAACTCCTCACATGATGAAAGTTCCAGTACAGAAGAGCAGAACAGAGCCCAGCTCCCATAGTAAAATAACAACTGTATTTTCTTGCTTTAATGTGAGGAATGAGAGATTATCACCTCCCCTCCCAGCCTGGGGGGGTTCTCACCCATTCCCATGGTGGGAATACCCATGCTCCGCTGCAGGTATTCTTCTATCAGCCTCCCTCTGTTCGAGATGCAAACCCTGTCCCGCAGCCTCTCGCAGCTCAACAAGTGATCTGTTATACTGTGTGCAGCCGCTGCGGCACGCGGGATGCGGAGCCCTGTTTTGCTGTTTACTAAAGCCCTGCTTGCTCCAGGCGTTGCTGTTGGCTGTGTCAATATTTGTAAAGAAATGATGCAGTATTTCATGAAGGGGCTGTAGGAGGCAGGCTCTGGGTGCTTAAATACAAGTCTGGAGCCTCAGTGCCCTGAAGAACGTCCCACTTTAACAAAGACCCTTTTTATGGAGAGAACTATTCTTTAACTCATAGCTGCACAAAAAAAAAACCCTCTCTTTTGGGGAGGAAAGTCAGGATTTAGCTTGCTGCCAATACAGGATTCCAAGAGTTTCTTCTTTTCCTCAGAAGTCAGCTGCTTTTAAAACCGACTTTCAATCCTCTGCTGACCATTTTGCACTGAAAGGTCCCAGTTCTCTCCAGCTTCCCCCCCCCCCACTTGCGATTTCTTTAACGCAGCTTTAAAGTGAATGATTTGACCTCATTTAATAGTGGCGAATTCTGATAAAGACGCATAAAATCTGAAGTGCACCATAAATGCAGAGCAGCATTTGTCCTGCTTCATGAGAAAACACTTTGGATTATGTAAAAGAAAATCTTTTAGACTGAATGATTTTAAGGAAAGAATAGACCTGTCAAATTCTATCAGCTCTGTTTACTCTCCTGCTGTCACCACAGTCCAAGACTGGAACCCACAATCCCGAGTGCTCCATGGGGGAGCATCAAGGCTCCACAAAATGGGGAATGGCCTCCAATTAGTGAGTGGGAGGCTGGGGCTGTGCTCAGAATACTCCTCTGTCTCACTCAGAATCTTTCAATGGGACAGTTGGACTTGGAGGAGACCAGGCTTTCCTGCAGGAGTGCAGGAGGAAGCTCTGAGGAGTGAGGGAAAGCACTGCCACGTAAGCAGGGGATCAAACGGGCGCATAGGAAGAGGTTTTCATGGGTACACTTTGAAAGCAGGGGATTTTAGTGATTTTTATTTATTTTTTAAACCTATGAGGGAAAGAAAAAATCCCTGATTTTATCAGATCTTTGAACTCCGTGGATCCAAAGCATCTGTAATACATTTGATGTAGCGCCTAGAGTAGCAATGAGGATCAGACTGCTATGAAAAGTCCAGAGACTATTTGTACTGCAGTAAAATGATTTTAGACTGAGATCTCTTCTAGCTGTGGGATACAAAACATCCTGACGTCCAGGAATGATTAAGAGCCATCATACCTCCTCTGATATCTATGGGTTTATGGCGCTGCCACTGCCTGGCTACTAGTGCCAAGTAATACTTCATATTCCAGTGTAAATACCCCAGCCTTCAGTATTTTCATGCTTGTTGTAGTGACAAATATTTCCAATGATTTCATTTTGCATTTTAGGGAATAAAAGTAGAGAACTGTAACACACTGTGGTCTTCAAACAATAGTTTTCATTGAAATCTGCACTCTATCCTTTCACAGTCTAATCTGATTTAATGTACTTATTTGTCTTAGGGACCATCCCATTCCCAAACTAGGTACAGTTACACGTCTACAATATTGTACAATAAATCACAACCTGAAAAACAGGCCGTTAGAAGGAAGACAGGAACTTCCTATTGACTATTTGGCGTATAGGAAAATCTGAATTTAAGGAAGCAAATCATCACTTCAGGTAACAGTGTGGCATCTATAGTTTGAAAGAAGTAGCTAAAATGCAGAATTCTATTTGAAGAAATAACATTACTTCAGGTGTAAAGCTGACCCTAGATCAAGATAAATTAACTTCAAGTTTTGCAGCTCAATAGTTTGTGTAAGAACCCCATCTCTATGCTTTTTATATTGCTATGTATTTCCAGTCCATAGAAGACTTACGTAGTGTTTTGAAGGCCTTGCAACTCACTTTCTATACTTATTAAACAGGAATTAACTTTTAAATGGCTATCTTTTGTGATCAGAAGGTGTTACTCAGTCATTAACCATTTAACATATGAGTAAATTACATCCTCCTTTACCCCATTTTAACAGTTCCTTTGGTTCTTCACAAACCTGCCTGTGTTCATTAGCTCTTCAGACAATCTGATTCGTTTTTCATTGTAATAATTATGATAGCAAAGTTTAGCATAAAATCGTATACTAAGAAGCAGGATACAGACATTGCAACTGCTGTAGTTCATATATTAGGGATGTGACTGCATTATGGTGGTGAAAAAGGCAGGAAGTCTTTATCCTCATGGCACATGGTACATTTTAGCTCTCCTAAGTGGTTCTGTCCCCAGTGGGGCTGGGAGTTTGCCTGCAGGACATTCCTGCAGCCAAAAGGCTCCAAATGCATAACTGACAAAACCATAACTGCTCCCAAAGAGCGTTCCAGGGTCCATTCCCCGACACCATGTGTGTTTGACTGGGACCATGGCTCCGTGTGTCCAAGTTGTTCCACCACAGTAGCTGCTTCATCCTTTAAATACACTTGAGAAACCTCCTAGGACCCAGCCAAACTCAGGCCACTGTGGATTGATTTAAGTGGATTAACTCAACTGTTCCCTATGCAGCTCCTGCAATGTGCTGGGCACTGTTAATAAAACATTGTGGCTCTTGCTCCTCAGACTGTCCTGCAGCTGCAGGCAGAGATGGGGAGGACAGGTCTGTACCCAGGCAATGTCTTGCTTCCCAGGCTCACCGTTTCACATCTTACCTCATGAGCAGGGCTTGACCTCCCGTTCAAAGCATGGACACAGAAAAGGAACTCCTCAGCACTCCTGTAGCACTGCTCTTATCTCACCCATCTTAATCTCATCGGTGCAGAAAGCAGAATTGCTGCATGACCACAGCAGCCAGTAATGCACTTGAGATGGGTTCTTGCAACTGTGCAACCCAAAGGGTAGCGTGGTTTATATTCCCTTTACACTGGGGTGAAGAGCTACAGCAATTGCAGGCAGGTGAATCAGCTCAGTGTTAACAGACAGCAGCTGAAGCAATGTTAAAGGAAAAAGCAGCTTCCCAGGTAGATAATGCTCCTTTAATAGAAAACATCCCGGTGGTGCTTTACGCTTCAACACATTGAGGAGAAGCTCACATTGATGTCAGTCCCAGGTTTATGTTTTCATTGGTTTATTTGGGCTTTTTTATAGCAAACCAGCTTGCAGAGTCACATCCCAGCTGCATTTGCCAAAGCCAAACCCAGCCAGGCCAGAAATCACTCAAAGAACCTAAAGAAAGGGAAGAGAAAGGTGTGCTGGCTGTGCCTTCAAAAGGTAAAGAGGACTTAAAGACCAAAAGCAGGGTGAGCTGCTGGCTGGAGCAGGAGAGGAGCTGGTGCAGACACAGGGAGGAGAGAGGCAGGAGGCAGACCCTGGAGCGGGTAAAAGCACCTGCACGGGAGGAAGATGGGAAGAGAAGTGCATAGGGAGAAGAGGCAGAGCAGAAGGGGATGGCGAGGTTGACTCCTTCAGTCAAACAGGGAATGCTTCTCCCCATGGAGACAGCTGGAGAGTCACAAAACACACGTTTTCCTTGTGGTGTTTTACATATGAGAAATCACTGTGCGTGATCTGAGGACATTGTGTAACCCCAGGCAAAAGAAACCAGGTGCTCATCACCACTTCAAGCAGAGGTTTTCTTAGGACTCTTCCTATTCAGGTGTCACTCCTAATCTGCTCCTGCTTGTTGGCCGGTTGTATTAAGCACAGGCAAAAGCTCGGGTGTCAGTGCTGCAATGGTAATGGATAAATACAAATAGTCAACCTATGATGCTGTTGAAGAGACAGTCCCTGTAGTCTCCAGTGACAAATTTGCCATACCAAGGTGTTTGCTGGTGTAGAAGTGGATAGTTCACGTTCACAGTGGTGATGAACCTTAGATCCAGCTCTCAGCACAGCTCAGTGTAAGAAAAGATGGTAAAGCTGCCTCTCTGAATACAGATCCCAATTCAGCCCTGAAGTTAGTTGCAGAGCCCCACAAGGTAATGGCAGGAATGGATTGGATGGGTATTTTGGGTAGTGTGTGCTGGAGCAGATAGCAAAGACTCGTGCTGCCACTGAGTATCATACCTGTAACATACCTGCCATAGCGCAGGGGTACATCCTCTGATGCGAAGAGGAGAACTGGGGCTCAAACCCTCAGCACCATGTGGATTCTTCCTCTGCAGGTGCCTTTCTAGGACAGAAGCACACGGAAACAAGCGTGGTTTCCTGCAGGGGTTTGAAAGGAGCGGGGTAAAACCCAAGCTGCATCACTTCTCTATACAGGACACCAGGCTTGCAGCGCCGTTGGGGTCACTGCCACCTTGTCTGCCCCGGCTCAGCCCATGCACCAGGCAGCCCTGGGGAATGTGCAGCTGGGGAGGGGTTTGGTGCGTGCATTCCTTACGGCCTATCGCTATTTGTCTCATTTACATGCTCTGAAATGAAAGAGCTGCTTTGACTACAGTGCCCCATTGTGCCAGGGGCTGTGAGCACCCGTCCAAAGGCAGGAGCTCTGACTCCTGAAGTTTGCCCTCGAACGTGAGACAGAAAGGGCAGCGGAGGGGGGCACAATCCGAGTTCATGGGATATCACAGCATGTACTATGTACTGTCATTCTGTGATCCTATTCTACTGATCCATCTGCAGCTGTCCTGGCACAGGGCAAGGGCATTGAACCCTATGAGATGCAAGTGTCAGGTATTCGTGTGCACAGCTCTGTCCCGAGGCAGCTACGTTAGCATTCCTTCACTAAAAGCAGGGCACACATTGAGGCTGTGCACTGAGAGACAAGCTGGGTTTATGCTGCAGCATATACCTGGCCACGTAAAACCTCTGGGCGTACTTTAAGCAGTTTCACCTTCTTTAAGACATGAAATTTCAACATTGGTTTTGAAAACAACCTGAAGAATAATCCTTAAACATGAAATATTTCATTCAGATTCAACAGACTCTTTTTTTTTTTTCTCCATTATTCCTGAAAACAGTTATTCTGACAATCAAATCCATTCAAAATAAAAAGGAGTGAGCAGCCAGAGGTGGTTTTAAAAATGCTAAGGTAGGAAAGGGAAGGAAATGTTTTTGTCTTGGAAGAAGAGAAGGCTCACACATTTGTCCTGGTGTTAGATTATTGCATCTTGGCATCTGTTTAAAGCCAAGGGAGTTGTGGCTGCCCCATCCCTCGCAGTGCTCAAGGCCAGGTTGGACACAGGGGCTTGGAGCAAGCTGCTCCAGTGGAAGGGGTCCCTGCCCGTGGCAGGGGTTGGAGCTGGAGGAGCTTTAAGGTCCCTTCCAACCCAAACCAGGCTGGGGTTCTGTGCTTCTAATAACTTAATATCACCTAAAAGTCCAGTCACCTTCCTTGTCCCTGTTTGGGCTGGCAGTGCAGGTCGGCATCATGGGGATGCTGAGCGGGATCCGCTGCGAGATGCTCAGTGGCAAGTAGGGGAGGTGCAGCTGCAGCTTCCGATGGCATCCAGCTGTGCCCGGAGCATCACCACTCATTCCCACCTCTGGGAAGAGCACCAGGACGAGCGCAAAGCCGCCGTCTCCCAAGAACCTAAACCGGGGGAGGCTGCAGAGGGCGGCAGTGCGGGACGGATGCGCTCACCCCATGCCGAGGGCATGTGGTGGATTCAGTGCCTGACAGGAGGCGTGTGCTGACCCTCACCGCCCATCTGACCCCGCTGTTTGTCGCAGGGGCTTCGGTGCCTGGGAGCACTGGCAGGGGCCGGGGTGCCAGATGGCACGGGATGCGTGCTGTGTGTCGCCTGCCATTCAGGCACGTTAATGGGAGGGTTGGAAAGAGCAGGAGAAGAAAAGGGGGGGGGGGGGGGGACAATTAACCAAGAATCCCCAAAACAATGGGGGCCACGTGCCGGCGGGCAGCGGTTGCTGCCGGCACAATGGGTTATCGGCTCCCCATGAATGGGCCCAACTGTTGCAAACCACATGAGCCTGCCCAGTTTTCAAACCATTTACTGCTCCTGTTTACTTCCAATCCAGCCAATCTCCACGCCGGGAATGCCGTCACCTGATGGGCTTCTTCTGTCTGTAAGTCCCAGGCCTCACCAAATAACTGAAGAGTGGTAACCATGGCAATGCTAATTATTGTGCTGTAACTACAGTAGGAGAAAGGGACCAGGGGAGGCTGGGAGAGAGCTTTGGAGGTGGTTTCTGGCCAGGATTCCAGGTTTTGGCTCCTGGTCGTGTGTTTTGAGCCTTCCCCCCCCCTCCTTTTTCTTCTTTTCAGACTCTTTTAACAAACAAATAAATCACCCTCTGCTTTCCAGAGCTCCTGGATAATGGCTCAGGGAGCTTGGATACATGTTTCTGGAGGTCGTGAATAGAGGGGCTGAAAGCCCCTGGGCAGGCAGGCACTGGAACTCTGCCCTGCTCTTTTGAGCCGATTTAGGGGAGTCTAAAACATAAAGGATGCTTCAGCAAGAGACCAGATTTATTTAAGGCTCCTGTGCCATCATTTGGCAACCAGCACCCATCAGTAGCACACATCTGTGGGAGGGCTCTTGACAGCCTCTGTTTTGGAAGCAAAATCAACTGCAGTCAACTGTACTGTGCTGTTCTCTATGTTAGTTGAGTGTTTTCCTGGACCTGGATCCCTTTGGGTTTACCGTGGGTATCTAGTAATAACTTCCTGACCTGTTCTAAGGCGCCTACGAAGTAGGTTAGCCTTTCATTTACAATAGTTCTGTAATGGGAGCTTTGGCCATACAGGAATCATTGAGTGTTCTAAACATATCTCTGTATTTCAGTTCTGGGCCATGCACTCTGTCAGAAGCATGAGATAGAGGATGCAGAATGGGTCAAACCCAGGGCTTTAACCCAAAAGCAGCCTCCCATCGTCGCGCTGCTAACATCAGGGTGGGGGTGAGTGTGCATTCAGCCACTGGCTTTGCACTTGGAGCCTTTAGTATGCCAAAACCTCCCTAATGACTGTTCCACACACTTCGTGGCTCCTTGTTTAGTACCAGTAACCTCATAGCTGGGAATGGCAGCGATGAAAGGCTCGTCCTGTGAAGTTCTGCTTCCGCAGCAGCTGGAAACGTGAGCTCTGGTACCCCGGGCACCCCTGCTCCCAGCGGGGCAGCGATGCAGGAGCGTGGCTCCCTGCTCACCTCTCCTGCTGTCCTGCAGGCTCCTGGCTCCCGAGCCCTCCCAGCTGAGTGAGGACGAGCTCCCCAGTGACTTGCAGTCCTTGTCGTGGCTGACATCTGTTGATGTCCCTCGGTTACAGCAGATGGCCAGTGGGAGGATGGATTTTAGCCTCGGTGCCCAGAACGCGATGCTGCAACAGACAGGTAAACTGCCGGGGTGTTGAATGACTGCTCTTTGAACAGGCACGGCTTCCCCCTCCTCCTCCCCTCCAGGCCAGCTTTCCTGTTAAGTGCATTACATTTTGCTTCCTGTCAAACAGACCTGGAGCCTGTTGTTGCCTGGTAAGAGCATCCCTAATCTTTTTCCTTCATCCCAAGAGGCAGTGACAACAGGATCCAAGTGGCATTCCTGCCCAGTGTGACTGCTGGTGCCTTGCTGTGTGAACTTGGGCACCAGAACTCACATTTCCACAGCTTGGACATTAACTAATCAGGCTTTCTCATTTGTTTCAACCCTGCTAAAATCCAGAGTAACTCGTTGACCCCCTACTTGTTTGCTTCACACACAGCATGTTTACTTCACACACTGACCGCCTGCCTTGCCTTGTGAGCATTCTTTAGGCAAACACCCTTGTTCCCTGAGGCAGTCAGCTAAGAGAGCTCAGTGTATCCCCTTCTGGGGTACAGATAGTGCTGGATACGGGGGGCTTTCTGTTTTGCCAGCTCCCGTGTGTGCAGCAGCACTGTGGACTCTTACACAGATTCATCTCCCATTCCCTGCATAACAAACCTTAGGAGCAGCTGATGGCACCTTGGCCATTTGTGAAACACTGGGTTCTTTGGGGATGGAAAGCCAGCAAGCTGTGATTATCCACTCCAGAGCTGAGCTGGGTCCAAGTGAAAGGCAGTTACTGGTAAATGGCAGCTCTCTTTTCTGAAGTGCACTTGCATGCAGGCATTCATTGCCTTTGCTTTCTCCAAAACAGGTCCTGTGGCAAACAACCTGCACTCGACAGGGGCACCTGGAGCAATGATCCACGTCCAGGCCAGCCTTCCACAGGGAATCCTGGGCCTCAGCTCTATTTCAACGCATGGCACGAATGTAAGAGCGGCCCTTGGTGGTTTATTGTTGCCCCACTTCTCTTAGCAAAGACGTTGGTAACTTTGAGACTGACACAGCTGGTGCCTTTATCTCAGCAGATGAGCCAGTATGCTGTAGGTGGGCAGCCCTCTCCTGGTTTACAAACACAGCAACAGCTCTTCCCTCCTCCTCCTCCTCATACACAGCAAGTGTTTGCCCTAGCACAGAGCACACAACAGGTACTGTGATTTGCTTGTCGTCTGTGTCTTGAGGTACCCCCCAAGATCACATCTAGAACCCTTAAAACAAAACTAACCCAACATCCCTAAAGCTACCCGTGGACGTTTTGCATCCATCTTTTCCTTCTGCACACAGTGTAACCCAGCAGCAATCTACAGCACACCCTATGGGACTCAGCCCCACTACTCTCAGCCGCGCCTGGCTCCTCACTCTGCCCAAGAGCTGCACCCAAAGCACTACCCCAAGCCCATCTATTCATACAGGTGAGTGGAGAGCTCTCAGATAGCTCTTGAGCGCTTGTGAGCAGTAACCCCATGGTCAGCTGTTTGTGCCTGAAGAGACGGGGCTGAGGGTGCTAGACCAGAAGGCAGCAGGACGGCTAAGTGCCTGCACTCTGTTCTTTCCTGCATTTCTCTGTCCTCTAGCTGTTTGATCGCCATGGCACTGAAGAACAGCAAAACAGGCAGCCTGCCAGTGAGCGAGATCTACAGCTTCATGAAGGAGCACTTCCCCTACTTCAAGGTACGCGTGCACCCCCAGGCCAGAGGCAGGTCCTCCCCGGTACTCGGGTCCTGCCTCACTTCACCCACGTCCTCCTGCCCCTTTCAGACAGCCCCCGATGGCTGGAAGAACTCCGTGCGCCACAACCTGTCCCTGAACAAGTGCTTTGAGAAGGTGGAGAACAAACTGAGCGGCACCTCCCGCAAAGGGTGCCTGTGGGCTCTCAACCCAGCCAAGATCGACAAGATGGAGGAGGAGATGCAGAAGTGGAAGAGGAAGGACCTGGCCGCTATTCACAGGAGCATGGCTAACCCAGGTAGGGCTCATGGTGGGGTTTGGCTGTGGGTATGAGAGACAAGAGGGGACAAATGGCTGTTTGGCAGGGATGGGTGAATCTGCCCTGCAGCAGCCTCCTCCTCTGCTCAGTGGAAACGTCCCCATGCTCTGTGCTGAATGAACTCATTCCTGCTGGCCTGAGGTGAGACCCAGCAGCAGGAGGAGGTAACTGAGCTGGTCCCCACCTTCACCATGGGTTGTCTTCCCCCCACTCCGTGCTAACAGACCCAGCACCACCCAAGCAGTTACGCTGCCTCCACTGTTAGCAGTTATAATGTCCCTTTTTAACACAGTTTTTGCCTGCTCCTCTGCAAAACTCACCCTTCACTAAGACTTTCCCATTCACAAAGACACATGCAGCTTTCAGGAGCTCAATATTGGCAAAATCAACTGGAGGTTTTTGCTGCAAAACCTACCTTTACTCAAGGATAAATCACTTTCTGCTTTGCTTAAACGAAAAGTGCCATTGGAATTGTCAGGAGTCTCTCGTACAAATCTCATTTGAGATACAAACCAAATTCAGAGCATCCCTCTGAGCAGGAGCCCTGCTGAGGATGCTCGGTTCTGCCTCTATAGGTCAGCTGTCAGTGGTGTTGGCTTGGTTGCCTGGTCTAAGTCACTCGGGATCGCTTCTTTAGCTCAGTTTAGGGGCTCCCTGCACAAAGCCTGTACCTGTGCCATGTCTCTCACACGTGACAGATGCTGCCCATTCGGTTCTATGGCAAGAGCATGGGGTCGCGCTCGCTTGTGAAATGCTTTGGCTGGTCCCTGCTGGGGCAAAGGGGTTAAACTGTCTCTTCTGTCCCTCGGGAACGGGCACTGCTCGTGCAGAGGAGCTGGACAAGCTGATCACCGACAGACCCGAGAGCTGCCGGCGGCCCAGCAAGCAGCCCGAGCCCGAGGTCTCTGCCCTGAGCCGCATGGCAGCAGCCCAGGGCCGCATGTCCCTGGCGCAGGTGCAGCCGCAGCCGCTGATGACGCTCTCGCTGCAGTCCATGCCCCTGCACCACCAGCTCCAGCCCCAGCCTCGCATCGCCCCGGACTCACCGGCACCCGCACAGAGCCCTCCTCTCCACAGCCTGCCTGATGGGAGCCACAGTCCTCTCCCACACCACCCCATGGGGCGCGCGCCGCCGGACTTCCTGAACGTGACGGCGGACATGAGCACGGAGGTGGATGCTCTTGACCCAAGCATCATGGATTTTGCATTGCAAGGTACAGGAGGAGGAAGCTGGGGTGGGGAAGGACATGATTTATGTCCTGAATATATAACCAGGGGTGTAACCGAGCTGAAAACTCGGTGCTGGCTGCTGCAGTGTGACTTACCTGGCCCTCAGCGCATTTCTGCCCTGTGCTCGATGGGACAGCAGCCTATCTTCATGGTTCAAGGGCTGGCATTGCAGTAGAGGTGAGCAGGGACATCCAGCTGCTCTGCATCCAGAGCTCTGCTTTTCCCCTTCTGTAAAAGAACTTCCCCAGCTTGGCAGGGCCCCTGGGTTTCTGGTCAGCACAGGGTGGGTAGATGCTGCCCAGGGAGCCCTGCACTCCTGGAACCAGAGGATTTGGGGGGGGAGGGACCAACGCAGTTGCTGCTGCCTTTGCACTACAACTGGCAGCGCTCACAAGCAGCGCCGGCCCTAAGCAGCTGGCAAAGCCCTCCTGTTACAGACCGAGCCCTCCCCGGGGTGCCCGGGTGGGTTGGATGCGTTGCTGTGACCAGACTTTCCTGCTTCCCAGGGAACATATGGGAGGAGATGAAAGACGACAGCTTCAGCCTCGACACCCTGGCTGCCTTCAGCACCTCCCCGCTGCACCTCTCAGACTGTGACCTGGGTCCCCCCGGCCTCACGCCTGCCTCCAGCGGCAGCGATCGCTCCTTCTCCGACGTGCAGGTCACCGGCCTCTACACCACCTACGCCGCGCTGGACAACGTGGCAGCGGCAGCTCCGTACATGAACCCCCAGGGCAACAAACCCATCGCCCTGCTCTGAGCTTTGCACCGTGCCGGGGACCTCCAACACAGGGGCCGGTTGCTCCCAGCCATTGAAATCCAACCTGAAAGCAATAAGAGAGCTCCTCCTGCAGATGCTGTTTCCTGGGACACAGCACAGGATGCCAGGATAAACCAAACTGTCACTATTGGAACAGCTTTCACCCATTGGAAGGGGTGAAGAAGGGGAATGGACCCTGGTGCTGCAGGACTGGGGAGCTCTCCCAAAGGATGGGGAAGGCCTCAGCCTAGAAAGTAACAAAGGTTAAAACCAGCCCAGTTAAGGTGCACACACTGGGCTCTGGACTTACACATGGATGCTTTTGGGCACCACTTACACAGAAGCCAGCAAGCCAACGGGCAGGGCAGCACCAAGCTGGAGCCCAAAAAGGGTTGATCCTGCACCATTGCATCTCTTTTCCTAAAGTGACCAAATAACTGTTGCCCTTGAACAAGGACCACCCAGGCTCTGGAGCCACTTGCACCACTAACGCTTTCTGGACATAACTATTGTTAATTTATTGTTATGAGGTAGGAAAAAAGGAGGAAAAATACTAAAAAGTGAAAAATCCAACCCATAGCAAAGAACTGTTCTATGTAGGATTAAAAGCAGAGCCCTTACCTGTGAAGGGAGTGGAACTACTGAATTGTTAAAGTAGGTTTTAGGAATGATGCCTGTTTTTAGGGAGTTTTAGGGGGTTAGAAGTGGTTAGATCTGTGCATCGTGCTCCTGTCTGTTCCGTGCTAGGCAGTGCTCCTCTTTGTAAATTTATTTATATTTATTGCTATGGAAAGAAGTGATGGGAAGTTTGTCAAATGCTGCAGTGCCCTGCTTTACACCCGCTAAGTTATTCATGCTCCAACGCAATGAGTTCAGCCACTGGTGTTACGCTACCTTGAAAGAAGCACTTTGGACACTGTGAAACTCAAGTGTTATAAAGAATAACTCAGAGACCAAATATTGTAACTGTTCACAACGCTCTCTCCTGATTAACCTAGTACAGCTGAGGCTAATGTAGGCTTTTACACTGTCAAACCCTGGTTTATACCTGGTGACAGCCCTGGCAAAGGATGAGGAGCCACCTGAGAGTCTACAAAGTTAATGGATGTTGGAATTCAGCATTTAGTCTACTCACACCTCCGTGACCGTGGAGCAATGCTCACATCTCGTGCTCCCTCTGTTCCTGTGCACCCATAGACACTCCTGGGTCCTGGGGTTGCATCCATGCGCTCGCAGGCTCCTCACCGCACACTGCAGGACGCTGGAGCTCGGAAACCCCACTGCGAAGATCAGGGGCTGGAAAACGCCTGTGCCTGAATCTTGCCCCCAGGCACCTCTTCCAAAGGATGCTCCGCGTCCCCATTGACTGTCACGAGCGACCCTTTGCTGTGAGCGGCGGCAGCGCCGCTTCTTCATGTGTTAAATAAACGTTTCTTAGCACTCAGCCCGCGGCTGTGGGTGCTGTCACGGCGCCGGGGGGCAGGCAAAGGCGCTGCCCCGCTGCCGCTCCCCGTTATCAGCCATTCCAAGGCTATTGGAGATCCGACGCAGCCAGGAGACACTTCCATGGGAGTTAGGGGTGAGGAGCGGGTGCTTCTCCGCAGTCTAAGAGCGGGGGGTTCACGTGCCCCCACCGAGAGCAAAGCATCTCCTCCACTCACAGGGGAGTCATAGTGCCCATCTGCAAAAGGAGGGCAGAGCTCCCCTCTGGAAGAGCAGCTTGCCCCAGGCTTCACTGCTCCCCCCCCGCCATTCCCAAGCCGAGAGTTTGCCCCTGGCTCAAATCCCACAGGAGAGGAGGAGCTCACAGGTACGTGGGATATGAGCTCTTCCTGCCAGCCTGCTCCTGAGAACCCAGCTCAGTGCATGGAAGAGCTCTGGAGCAGGGGGAAGCACGCACAAAGGGGATGCTCAGGGCTGCTCCGCACCGCAGCAGCGTCGGTGCTGCAGGGAGGGGGCTGCGCAGCGACAGAGGCACCGACCCCTGCTCACATCCACCACGTTTAGACAACGACAGCAGGAGGAGGTCAGCAGAGCTGCCCGAGAGCTGGGCTCCCTTTATTGCCTGTGCCTGGCTCCCGCACAGCCACCACCACATCCCCTTCCCAGCAAAGTGCAGCAACACCTCCCAAAACACAAAGCCCTTTACTCCCCTCCAGCCCTAGGACAGGGAGACCCTGCCCTCCCACAGGCACGGCCAGCACTGCACTGGAACCAGGCCGCCCATCTCCCATCACCACCCTGCAGGGCAAAACCACCCCTGTGCTGATGCAGTGACACAGAGACCCTGCAAAGCACATTGCACATCTCCCCTCCACGAGCCAAGCTCAAAGCCACTTCAGATGCAAGGTACAGGTCCAGGTCCAGGCAGACAGAGCTCACCCCAGCTACTGTGCTTCAGCAGAGGACCCGGGTCACTGGGGCAGGAGCACCTGGGGCTGTGTCCTCCCTCCTCTGCATCCCCTGCAGGAGCCAAGGGCCGAAAACACCCCAAGGAGCCGCAGCAGGAGGCAGAAAGGACACGAGATAGGCGAGAGGAGCAGCTGGGTCAGTCAAACCATGGTGGATCCATTGCTGGTTCTGCTGCACAGCTCGCTGATGTCCCTTTAGGGCCGCCAGCCGTTCAGTCCCATCCACTGATGGCTCCACAGAAAAGGGAAGGATGGGACAAGCTGCTCCTCACAGCCCCCAAGCTCATCAGAAAACAGCACTTTGAGAGTGCTGCTTAAGCAGGCATTACACTCCCTTGTGCCAGTGCCTGCTCAATGGAGACCTCCTCCTCCTCTTCATCCCACTTCCCTGTGGTGCCTGGGCCATGTGGTTTGTACTTCCAGCTCCATCAGGTCTCCCAAGCCGTGTCTGACACCGGTGCTTGCTTTAAAGACCAAGGCCAGAGCTTGCAACTAAAACACAGTGAAAGACTTTAGCTTTAAAACCAACTTCTGCACCAGGTCCACACCCCAGGCCTGGCTCAGGACGAGTTTAGCTTCTGCCAAGCTGCCCCTCTGACGAACACCCCAGCGCCAGAGGGGACTTGGATGGATGGCAAGACCAGCTTCAGGGCTTAAATACAAACTCTGCCATCCTCTATTTAGGCACACGAGCCCAAAGCTTCAGTTCAAGGCTGAGGAACCGGGTGAGGAGGCGAGGTCTGGCCTCTGGGCAGCCGCCTGTCCCGGTGTCCCCGCTGCCCCATGGCAATTGCCCTGCACAGCGCTGGCCAGCGGCTCAGGAGGGGCTGTTATTATCCACCGTTGACAGGAGATGGACAGCCTGGGCCTTCTGTGCAGGGCTGAGGTGCTGAGCTACCTGGATGATGCAGTCCATGGTCACCTCGGGGTTGGTTTGGAGCAAGCTGCAAGGCACACGGCAGAGGGAGGCTCAAGCCAGAGCTGCCCCATCTCCACCACACGGTGTCCCCAGCGACGGGGCATCCCCGCCCCATCCCGGCTCCCGCGGCCGCTCACCTCCGGATGCGCTTGAGCGCGTAGTCCCGCTTCAGGTACTTGATGTTCTCCCGGATGGCCGACTGCGTGCTCTCATCCTCTTGCAGGTGCTTCTCCAGCCACTCCACCACCACCTGGTTGTTGTCCCAGAGGTAGCCCTGGGGAGAGCAGCACCGTGGGCAGGACGTCCTGCTGCCGGCACAGCCTGAGCCTCCCCTTCTGCTGGGGCCTCGGGGTTTTCCCTCCCATCACAAAACCAGGCAAGGGGGATTTGCTTCTCAGGCGTGCACAAGCAGCACAGCACGATCCCCGCTGCCTGGCACACAAACACCCACCCCGGCACAGGGCGGAACACAGCAATTCCCATCCCAGCTTTACAGGCACTAACGGACGGCGCTGCAGTGACCGGGAAGAAGGTGCCAGCCCCAGGAGGCCGGAGGTACCTTCTCAGCTCCTTCCGTCTCCATGAACCAGCGCCGCAGCATGGACTGGATGTGGATGTGGCTCAGCTCGCTGTTTGCCTTCAGCACCTCAGCCTTCACCACCTCCTCCAGCAGCAGCCGGCGCAGGCGCCAGTAGAGGAAGGAGCGGGCGCTCTTCCACTCCAGGATGTCCTGCAGGAACGGGGCAGAGCCTGGCTTTGTCCCTGCAGGAAGGAGAGGAGCTGCTGGGCAGCGCCTGCTCCCTCACAGCTCACCTGGGGGGGGTCTCTGCATCCAGGGCAGGAACACTGAAGCCCAGACCCGCAGGAAGGGACTTTAGAGCCACCCCGCCGTGCCCAGCCCCATCCCGTGGTACCCGGGCTCACCGTGAGGACTCCCTTCTCCTGCATGCGGCCCGGGGTGTCGTGCAGGTCAGCGAAGTGCAGGGCCACCTGGTAGTACATGGGCAGCAGGAGCTCCTCCCGGGCCTTGAGCTGCTGCTCCAGCTCCTTGCGCTGCGCCCCGGACAGCTCGGGGGTCCCTGTGGGAGATGCTGTGCTGAGCAAACCCCCTCCGTCCCCGGGATGGGATCCACAGGACAGCCCAGGGGCTGTGCTCCCACATCAGCCACCCCCAGCAGGAAACAGGCTGAGAAAGTTGGGGCTGTTCAGCCTGGAGAAGAGAAGCTGCGTGGAGACCTCATAGCAGCCTTCCAGTATCTGAAGGGGGGCTATAGGGATGCTGGGGAGGGACTCTTCATTAGGGACTGTAGTGACAGGACAAGGGGTAACGGGTTAAAACTGAAACAGGGGAGGTTTAGATTGGATCTAAGGAGGAAATTCTTTCCTGTGAGGGTGCTGAGGCACTGGAATGGGTTGCCCAGGGAGGTTGTGAATGCTCCATCCCTGGCAGTGTTCAAAACCAGGCTGGATGAAGCCTTGAGTGCCATGGTTTAGTGTGAGGTGTCCCTGCCCATGGCAGGGGGGTTGGAACTGGATGATCTTAAGGTCCTTTCCAACCTTAACTATTCTATGATTCTATGAAACGAGGTGCCCAGCATCACATCCCTTCGCTTTGGAACATCTACGCCCTTGCTCCGCAGTGACTGTGTTCATCTCATTAGGCACTGATTCAGCATGGCCGTTGCCATTCTTCATCTCAAAGCATGGGAGGAAAGTCCAGCACCGTATACAGGTGCTTTAAAGTACCACCACATCCTCTTGGCAGGCTCCACCGTCAGAAGGAATTTTCACAGAGGAACACTAAAGGATTTCCTGATGGTGTTTGGGGGCCTCATGTTTTATCTTACTGTTACCAGTGCCCGCAAACTGAAACACCCTTCTCTTACCCAGCTGCTCAGCCAGCTTGGCATAGACTGCATCAATCCTTCTCATGGTCTTCACCAAATCTTTCTTCCTAAA